ACAGGAGATTTTGCTGAAATTGCAGCACCTTGGTGCAGGAGGCCAGCATCTGTCAGCAGCATGCGGAGAAGAGGGGCAGCAGCGTGAAGCACCACGGTACAGTAGCAAATATTCTTCCCATTGTATTCCTCAGTGTAATTTTTGTCTGGCCAGAACTGATGTTTGAAATGTGGTGCATAATCACCAACCATGACAATTACTGCCTGATGAGTGTCACGGACAGCAAATTGTAATAACATCCCTGTGCATTTGTGAAATAATCTGTGGACTAATAAGCTAAATACCACTCTTTGAATTCCACATTTCCTTGCTCCAGAAATCAAGAGTGCGTTTTGTCAAGTTTCAGTTTACTTTGAGATCTGTCAACTGGCCTGCTGCCTCCCAGCTGCCTGAAACAGAAAGCTATATAATGCAGACACCCATTATGGTCGGAGATAGTTAAGTACACAGTGATTTTCCACTTACGCACATTATCTACATAGTTGAAGTAGCATCTAGAAAAGCATAGGAGTTACCACATAGCCTTAGTGATGACAGATGAGCATAAGCTGTGGTCCTACTCAGTACATTTTGCAGAATTAATACTAAAGGATACCCAAAAATTGAGCTGTACTGTTTAACCAATTTCCTTACACAGCTAAGCCATGTCCGCTTCACCAGAAGGTGAAGATTCAAAATTGATCTGAGCCTGCTCAATTCGAAAAAGATTTACAGGTAACCCCTGCCTTTTGTTGCTGGAAGTCTCCACACATCCCTCTACAAACACACGGTCTTTTCTTCCGTGCTCTCAGGGCAGTTACACTTGAGCTTCAATCTGCTTTGGCTGCCAGGTTGGCATATCGCGTATCCTCAGTGTGCTGCTCCACGAGCAAGATGCTCTACAAATACTGCCGCTTGGGTTGCTGCTTTCTCTGTCAGTGAAGTGCAAGGCTCTGTACACAAGAAAAAGCTTGTCCCAGGTGGTGACAAACTAAGAATTTCAAAAACAAGATTCAGAAGCTGTACAAAAGATCCCTTATCCCTTTCTCATTCTCTTTTTGGAAAACCTTCCCGAATTCAGGGGTAACACAAGACAAATTCCCAGACGTTTTCAAGTGTGTATCAAAGGTATAAGACTGTCCAGCAACACAAAAATACACATTTCTTTAAATGCATCACAAGCTGTCCATCCTTCTTGAGCAATCCCAAGCTTCCCATACCTTCAGTGATTTGGGGGGTGGGGGGGGGGGTGGGGGGGTAGGGATAAATACTGAAGAGACAAAACGAAAGGGGGGAGAGAGTAACACAAACAGAATAATAGTATGACAATTTTTCATCTGATGCAGACTTCCAGAAAAGCCTGCAGTCACTACTCACAGTCAATACACTTTAAGATATTTACTAACAAATTCAGGATTGGCTTCGGCATTTAATCTTTAAAACCACAGACAACTCCAAACTCATAATGCAAGACCTTGTATCAGTTTCTAGTTTAATACCCAAGCTATTGCTTTACTGTACACTGAAGCAATAATTGAGCACAGATTTGGCAACAGCCTTTACCTGCAAACAAAACTACTTTTGTAAGTCATAGACTTGTGATCTGGGGTCCAAACAATGCAAGATAAAACTAGGCACTCTGCTATTATATGAGAAACCAAAACATTCCTGAGAAGATGACAATGAAAAACTAGCAAAGCAATTATCATTACCAAAAGTAGAAAAGTAACTTTTTAATTCCCATCTTTTAAAGGTTGTTTTCTAACTTTCAAGTACTGAATACAAATTCTACCCTGAAGGCCTATTTACTGCATGCTCTCAGTTTAACTTCTTTGGAAAATACTTGCCTTGCAATAAGAGAGAAGTGAGGTTGTTAAGTGATCTGAATATTGTCTTACAAATATTTGAAGTGATTTGTGACAATGAGCTCTTCTAACAAGGCACATAAGATGTGCAACTGCTGAAAATCTAATTTGGAAAAACTCAAAATGGAAAGAATTTTTAAGAATTAGGCTACTGGAATAATCCACATAGGAAACCGATATTTAAAAATAAGAGGTAAATGTTAAATACATCTTGTCCCCAGTTTTATTGCAGCATCCATATCTGCCGCAATTCTAGTAAAACAATTTTTAAACCAGCATTGACCCTTACCAGGCCCTATCTGGTTCTTCCAGAGGGTGTTTTCCACATACATGACCACCTTAAGCCTCTCTCTTTGCTTTCAAACTGCAAGACAGAGTAGTTCCAGGACTTAAAACAGCAGGATGATACTATAAAAGAACAAGTTCCTTCACCAGCTGTGAAGTGTAAGGCTCAAAGGTTTTATAAAGAACATTGTGTGGCTCTAAATCCTCTCTTCTGTATCCACTGTCCTTTACCTTCCTCAAAGGCGTGGTTGTGTGCAGTATGAGGATGCTCATCATCATGAAAGACCTTAAAAAAAAAAAAACCAACTTTGTGAAATGAGTATTTGCTATGGTAAATCTGGCAGAAACTTAAATTGCCACCTCATTGTTTGATTTTTTTCCTCGGTCCTTAGAGTCAATACAGAATGGGTATCTGATCACTGGAAGGTCACTGTTGAAAAGATACAGGAAGTTTAGATGGGAGGAAGTGGAAAAAAAAGCCAAGCACCTGGAAAACACTTCATTGCTTCTTTTATTTAGATGCACCCACAGTACAGAGCCTCTTCAGCATGTGCAGAAGAGGAAGATCACACATTTATAGCTGGGAGCACCACTGAGTTTGAGTTTCTTTGATACCATTTTTGAGAAAGTAAACTATTTCCAAAGAATTACATTTGAATCCAAGAACTTAAGACCTGCTTGTACTTTATCCATCAGTGGAGATTATTTTTCTTTTATTATTACTTCAATGTAAAGTAGAAGACATTTTCAAAGTCTGGTTGAACCAGTCTACGTATTTTCATATGCACCTTCTAATTTATATGAAAAAGGCTTCGTTCCCCCCCCCAGTTAAATGCATCTAAATTTAAAACCAGTAATCAACCAGAGCATTCCTTTGGGGAAAAATGAACTTTTGCTGCCCTCTCCTGCTTAAACAATGAAATGCTAAAATATTAAGATCTATTAATCTAATGCTAACCTTCAACAAAAAGCATGACAGGTCATCTGCTATACTAGAATCAAAAATAGGACAACAAGAAGAAATGTATTGGTACTATTTATATTTGAAAATTCCTCATCATTACATGAGGTTACGAATACAACATATTTACAGTAAGTGATCCAAGTAACAAAACCTTGTATTCAGAGAGGTCATGATAAAAAGTGTTTGCTTCTGTGGATAGGAAGCAACAGTTGGATAAAAGTTTTCAATGAGAATTAGCTCCATTCTGTTTCAAAATACTGTTTCATAGACTTCAAAACAAAAAAAATGGGCTATGCAAAATCTGCTCACATTAGCAACTAGCAAAACTAATCCATGGCTCAATCCAGAGCTGCTAAGGGAAGAGGGTGAGCCAAAATAAAAAAGCCACATCTAAATAAACACATTCTTCAGTCCTGAGCATTGTCACCTTTGTCTTGTTTTAGGGGAACTGCTTCGGGATGGTATTGTAACAGTTAAGAGAATAGGCCATCTTTGTTTTCCAAGACAGAAATAAAAGCAAATTATTTCAGTTTTACTTGAAGGAGAGAAGAAACTTGTCTTTCTCCCTCCTCAAAAACAAAGTTTTTAGAACTCCTAATGTATTCTCCTTTCCACAAAGTGAGAGAGCCTGAGGCTGTACTTAATGCACTTACAATATAAGTACAGCTGCTATATTTCTTACTCAAGCAATTCTTGGCTCTAACACCCTAAATTTTTCCATAAATAGGAGGAAATAAAAAAAAATTAAATCCTTTTATTTATGCTAACAAAACCAAGATTAAATTTACTGTAAGCCTTCTAGTGAATACTTCAACAGCATTAGAATACTTTTATTTAAAGCATTCCAACCTTTTGAAGAGACACAAAAAACACTCAAAAGCAAGGAAAGAAAAAAAATAAGGGAGACTTGCAACATAAAGGTTGGACTCGGTGATCTTAAAGGTCTTTTCCAACCTAAACTATTCGATGAATCTATGAAGAAAGCAATGTGTGCTCAATTTAAAGTATAAACTTTACTTTTACAGTTGGTATATCCCCATGACCTGATGCAATGCCCTAGCATTGAAAATGCAGCTCTTTCCTTTTACCAGAGAGCATTCAATCCTTTCTCCTGAAATCAATATGGTACAGGACACGAGTGATCACCCAACAACCACCGTATGAGCAGTTAATAAAAACATTTACACAAATAAAGGTAGCTTCTGGAACTCAAGAAGCAAATGAAAGCATAATTAAATAGACACACTGATCACACTTGGGCCCATACACTGCCACCTTCTTTGCCTACAACTCCAACTGATGGGAGCATTGCAGAGTGGCAGGAAATTGCATTTGGATTGTGGCAAAGAGTGGACCCTGGGGATGAGGTCGTATCATTGTGGCAAGTGCTTCTTTCATGTACATCATACAGTGCAACCTAGCGCCGTATCAGCCTTTTAAACTCAAGTGACTAATATCACATCATCTCATTCACTTTAAAGAAACGTCCCTTCTTGGAAGTGACAAATCATCTATGAACTTTAGGTACTTCCCACCATCCCCACATCAGAGGTAACATTAGAGGTAACAAAATATTGCAACCCATCAGGTTCTCATCAGTTTCGCATGATCAATACCGGAATGTCAGGTCAAAATCAAAAATAGTTATGAACAAACAACACTCACCTAAACTCTAAGTACAGGACAAGGTGCTTTTTCTAATTTCACATTGTTGTGTTCTACTCCACCAGCTGGAAAACATTAATCTTTTTTCCTCCATTCTATCTCAGTTTTTCACAACTGAACATTAGTCTTTGAGCATGAGTTTGGGTCCACCCCTCTTGTAAAGCATGATCATTTCACACAAAAATCACACTGTCTAGTATTTTTTTGGTAACAGAAATAAAAGACTGTCAAAATCAATGGGCTAAGGGACACGATTTGTTATAAATTTATTTAATCTTCAGTATTTCAGCTTGCACCTTTGCTTCAGCACTTTAAAATAAAATGTTTCAACTATGACAGTAACTGCCTAATTTACATTGCGTCCCAGTCAATGTTCTTAAAAGAAGCTTGTACTAATCCCACTAAACCATGTTGTGTTTGGTGTTGCATATGACTAGTTCCACTTTTTTTTTTCCAGAATTAACAGTGTCAAGTTTTTACAAAATTGTTGAGTTTACAACACCTGTGTGCGCGGACCCGGGAATACAAACCGTGACCTGATAATCCTGAAACAGTCAGTAGTCTAGGAGGGAATTCTTTTTTACCTCTTTTCCATGCCTGAAAACAAGAAAACTTCAAATCCTACTGTATATTTAAATGGTAGGAAGAAAAATATACAAGCTTGTATTTATACTGTATTTCTATCAATGGCAACAGGTCATAAATTCATGTTTGCAACTATCACAAAGACTCAAGAACACCAATTCAGTTTTATACTGTAAATACTGCTGGATTGATGGTTTAGGATTATCAACTCACTGTTATCATATGTCTGTAACAGTTCAAAAGCATCCTGGAGAAAAATCCTGAAACACATACCTTTCGGTATATAATAATGCAACTGCATTAGCTAAATATATACTGTACATAAATCTTATCAGCATTTTACCTACCAAAGATGTAAGATTCCACTTTCAGATACAAAGCAGATAGCCAATAATGTATACTTATAATACAGCCCTCTCCTTTGTTTTCGTATTTTTTCTTTAGTTTTAAACAATTTGGTCACAATGCACCTTTGATATAAAAGCATTTTAAACTTTATTATTAATACTCAGAACATTAGGATTTCCAGAATTTTTTTCAGTAGCATTTGTAGAACCAGTTTTGGTAACAAATACAGTAGTTAGGAATGAGCATCCAGATGAGAATGCATAAGTATATTACCCAGAATCCTTTCCAGCTAAGACCATAGGGCTGGTACTGTGATGAATAATAGTACTAGAACCACAAAAACACTATAGTATGTTTCTTAGAGGCTACATCCTCTTTTGCTGGAACACTTTATAAATACATATTAAAAAGTAAGGCAACAACTCCAAACAGTCCAAACTGCTATCTCAACTCAATTTCCAATTAGATTCATGACCACTGGAAACTAATTTCATGCTCACACTGTTTAGCATTTGTCTTCATTCTTTCAAAATGGTCCAATAAAAACATACTGTAATAATTTAGCAATTAGTATTTCTAAAACAACTCTGGTACGTGTGTCCAATGCCACATCACTAATACTGGTTAGGTACTGAAGTCCAGGGTGTTACCACTGCCTGTTTTTAAAGGATTGTGGACACTACTTTGGATTTGCAATAAATTGGTGCTCAAATCCAAAGCTCCCTTTCCTACTATGTTTATCACCTACTTGTTTTTTTTAACTCCTAATGTTCAAATTAAGGAAGCACCAGAGACAGGCTGGTACTAAAAAAATGCTCACACCAGTAAACAAAACTTTTATTCAGGACCTATGTTTTTCATGGCCCTGATCTGAATGGACATTCAACTTATGAAGATGTGCAAAAGGAAAAAAAAAGTCAAATTACAGTAAAGTTATCCAGAGAAGGAGGATGTTACACAAACTCATAAGGAAATGACAGTCTTTTTTCTCTTTTACTATAAATACATTTAACAGTTTAGCAGAAAGACAAGCTAAATTTTAAGATTGTTCACATTTGAAAGTTGTATTATACTCTCTGCTAACGATAAATAAGGAACAGGTCCTGACAATGGAATTTGACATCGCAATTTTCATCAACATATCTTTGAAGACTGGTTTTAAAGAAGGGTTAAAACAATGACTATGTTTGTAAAGTTCTGAGAAGTCCATCTGCTGTCCAAACTTTGGATTAAAGTCCTTATTTTTTCCTTTACTTAGAGACAGGTATATACAGTGCTGTTGTAATAATGAAACAAATGTGAAATCTACTGTAAAGTTGCACAATACAGAAAACTGTTGCTCCATCTTCTACTACATAAATGTGTGACTCCACAGGTTAATAATGCTGTTTTGTTGGGTTTTTTTGTTAAGTTGGAATTATTCCATCACGTCTAAGACCTCTCTTTAATTCCAAATCCTCCAGTTTTTTCCACAGTTCTTCACGTTCTTTCTCCTTCTTCTTCTCACTGACAGATGAAATAAAACAAAAAGTTAGCACAAGAGAATACTGTAGAATGTTTATGTTAAAATATCTACAGCTGACATGAATTAGCAGCACTGATTTTGTTAAACATAACTGCAATTTTCCTAACGTATTTAAGTTTCTAAAAAATTTTGTTACCTACGTATCACTGAACAAAGCAGCACAAACAGAATATAAACCATAAGCTGACTGAAGTGACAGCATGCACTGACACTAATTTGTAATGCAGAAGAAAAAAAATGGGCTTTTACTATGGAACATTTTAAAATATTGGATATATTATGGAACAAAGATATCATAATTACAAAAACTAATGTTTCGGGACTGGCTTGCATTTAATTATTTTCAAGATACTTCTAAGAAAGGTATTTTTTAATCTTATAAATAGCCACTTTCTGGAACAAGCATTCCCTTATTCTTTTGGAATCACTGTTCTAACTTACATTGACTGGTGGCTTTCATATCACTTAGGTAGCAGCCAAGGAAAAGTTCAAGCTACAAGATGTGCCTTTCAGTGATTTATTCCTTTTCCTTACAAATTCCTACAAGATCTATGTAGCATTTGCTTTAACAACAGACTTTAACAACTAACCTAACATTTACTTTACCTGCATTATTTACTTTCTGAACTTCTGTCTCTGACATATCTTACTCTGAATAAACCTCCTTGATATTGCAAGGTACAAAATCCTTTCCATTTCTACTACATCACCTTGTAGGTTCAGATGAAATGGAAATCTTAACAATTACAGACACATTCTCTGCCAGTCACATTAAAGAATTCTTGAAAAATATTTCAGTGGATTAGAAAATTCCTACTCATCTTGATTCAGTCAAAATGCCAATATCTGGCTCATTTATCTGAAATTTTTATTTCCCAAGTGTATTTTAAACATATAAAAATACAATCCACTTTCAGATAAATCCCTGAAGAATGTTAAAGGGAAAAAGAAAAACAAACAAAAAACCAAGCCCATTGTCACTAAAAGTATTTCAAATTAAATATAAGAATAAATGAAATAGCCTGACATTCTCAGGCTACTTACCAATATTTACCTTTTAAGCACTATGAAATACATGCCTGCTTACCTAAAAGACTGTTAGAAGATGATCACCTTATTCAACTTACCTATTTGACCTATGAAAGTCATTAATATCTAACATATTTCTCCTCAATATTTAAGTCGTATCAAGTTACCTTTTGAAATGCAGTTCTATTAAGATGCTGAACATTTTCTGTAAACATTAAGGCTTTACATGTTTTAAAATGCTAAGTAGTAAATAAAAATGATGAAATGGTTAGCATCAGCCTTGACAGGAGCTACAACATCAGTAGGTTCAAGGGAAATTCTTTGTGCAGTTCAGACAGTAAGCCTCATGCATTATCCAGACATGGGACATACTAATACAGTGTCTGGTCCTGTTAAGAGCAGAGTTCCTCACCTTAAGGGGCAAAGTGCAATCTCAAATTGATGTTAAGTCACTGAGCTCCCTCAGTAAAAGGGTAGATTAGATGACTGGTCCTAAGATTCTCTGCCTTTTCTACTAGAAAAGCATTCAGCATTGTCTCAACTGCACTAACGGATTGAGCCTTATTTATCCACACCTATCTGGAATTGATCTGGCATCTTAAATATATATCTACATCTCTAAAACTAAAATACTGTATTAATGAACTAACCTGTTAAGTGTAGACTTTTGTGTGTGTGTATAAAACTTTGTATTTTACAAAAATGAAGCAGAACAGAAGGACAGTGTGATTCCAGGCCTACAATTCAAAAAACATGGCCTCCAAGACTTTAGAGACAATGCTAACTAACAAGCTCAAATGACATACAGTACCCTTTGCTTTGCTTGGGAGAGCCCTGAGCCATAGAAAAGGTATGACGTAAATAAAACTGCAAACTGTTCAGAGTTCCTCAAGTTTCCTCATTTTTTTCACCTGACACTTTGGGTAAGCTTTAATTGCTCTTTAATTGGAAAATGACGATTAAGAAAAATGGGAGAAAAGACAAAAAACATTTTACTAGGGTGGAAGTGACATATATATGATTGGTGTATCTAATGGATCCTGCATGTTAGAAGACTCCAATATAGAGAGACCCAGAAATAAGAAATGAAAGGGTTAAGAGATGCTTTTTTGCTTTAAGACCGTATCTAGCCTATGGACAGTAGTTTGGCAAATCAAATCTTAGGATGTGCCCCCTCATGTTTCCAAACCTCAGTGTAACTTTTTTAAAAGTCTTTAAACAAAGTGTTAGCTTTAAACCCTTGTTCTTCTTTTGCTATTGAAGATCTTGATACTCTCAAGCCTTTTGGAATGTGGAGTCAAAAGGAACTCCAGGAGGAATGCAATTCCCAAGCAATGCAATGGATACTGTATTTCATAAGGGGTAAAGAACAACCTGTATATGATATTATCTTGCATCTTTCAAGCAGAAGGCTGAAGAGCATGCAAAGGGAAAAATGAAGCATTGTGTCTATTATGTGTGAGATTATGCAATTGCTCCTGAGTGTGAGGGAAAACCTAAAGAGCAGCCCGTGTGCACAGCTGACAAAAAAAGCTTTAAAAAGTTACCGCTGACGATCTGACTTGTAAGTGGCTGTCAGCTCATCAAACATGGTGCTGTTCATTTCCATAAATGCCTTCAACACATTGTAGACTAAAGCCACAATAGCTCTGTGAAACATTAAAACAGAAAAAAGAAAGGAGTCTATTAATTTCAGATGAAATCAAATACGAAATAAGTGTCTTCTCTTACCAGCATTGCCGCAAACAATTCTGCTCTTGCGAGTGTGATAATATAAATTCTTTGATTTCAGTGAAACTACTTCTGATTAACATATTTAAAGGTGAGAATCAGCTTTCATGTCTCTACTAACTTCTTCAATGGAGCAACCCAATACTCTAGGGTAAAAGGTAACAACAGAAAGCTATTACGTATAACTACAGACTCTTTCCCTTGTGCTGTGGAACAATTCTGAATTCATCTCCAGGGATTCAAATCATCAATGCTGTCAGAAAGAATAGAATTTAAACATGAAATGGGAATGATTCATATTTCCTTATGATTTCTCTATGAGGCTGAATATTCAGTGCATCTATGCAAAATAAAGCTGTGTTTCAAGCGTGATTTCCTTGTACTCATACATTTCATATTCATTTTGATATTGATACTGCAAAAAACTCTTAAAAAAACCCAAAACCACAGATCCTTGCAGTACCTGTGTAAAACTATGTGTTTATACATAAATACACATATACATTTTTTCATAGATATATAAAAAAAATGCATGTATCATATCTATATATCTGTCTCTAGATAACCTCGCCTACTTTGCATATTGCTGTTACTGACCCTACCCAAGACCCAGTACACTGCTGCTTATTTGAATTCAAGTTGCTTAATTGCATAAAACATAACAGGTATGATATGTTCACACAAGAAGAAATGATGTGTAATCATAATTTCATAAAGGCTTCAAAGGCATTCTGTCCCACAAAGGTTCCAAAAAGAGAGATACATTTTAGGCTTTTATATCATTTGACTGGATAACTAACCTAAAATATACTAGAATTACTAAATTAAGATGGATCTGCCAATCATCTGATTATCTAGAGGTCAAAACTTCTTTCTGGCAGAATTGGAAATAAAGAAACAACGAAGCAACTGAAAAAGGTGAACGGAAAGAGAAAAATCTAAAAACCTTTTGAAGAATTTCGAATAGATTATCAATCAAGAGATCCTAGTTCTGATCCACTACTATTCAGACATGGGGCTGCTTAAGAAACAGCTTAGAAGATGCTGAATTAGCCAGGAGACAGTGAATCACCATTACAGGTGATGGGAACCTTTGGAAAAAACCTATAAGGCAGGCAGATTCTGTGCCATTTCCTTTGCACCCTGTATATCATTCACTTCTTCCCATAAACTTTCATTTTTGTTGCGTACATTTAAAAATGATGTTACAAATATAAAAATTCTTTAAACACCTTCTTTATTTTACATTTATCTTAACCTGACTTGTGTGTCAAAGGTATGACACTTGTGTGTCAAAATTCCTGCAGGTATGAAAAACTCTGCAAACTGGGATAAGTGCAATATTCTCATTACCAGAAGCATCCCAGTGCTCAGTATAAAGAGTTGGGCAGGAGCACAGGCAGGTTGGAGAACGGTGATACAGTAATGCCATGAGAAGTGTCCTTTTGTGACCAGCATTATTTAAAGCTTTCCAGTAGCATTAGATTCATCATTCAGTCTCACAAATTTGAGAGTTTGGAGGGGTCCAGAACAAAAAGACTAATGTTTGAGAAGAGGAAATATTTTACAAATCCTTTACAGTAAGGTCTTACAGCAACTGGGACTTGAACATAGCATAGCTCATTAAAAATACTGGGTTTATTAAATGGTAGCCATCTTGACTTCAAAAAACTTCTCAACTATAGAATACATGGCATCTCAGTATAATAGTATTTTTCATTAAAATACTTTTTACTAGGTTGTTCAGTTTAAAAATAAAAATGCCAAATTAAGAGGATATCAATACAGATCAACTGCTCTATTATTGTGTGTAACAGAGACCAGCTGTGTTTAAATCAATTCAGAAAAAAACAACCCAGCCCAATGACTATATGCTTCATAAGACGTTTATAAAAATGCCAGTACCAGAGGTCTACCACAGGTGTCAGTATCATCCACGATACAGCCACAAAGCTTTGTTAATGCCAAGCAACATTCTTCTAGACAAGCTACAATCAGGCTTAAGATGTTAACCAGTTTATACAAAACTGTGTAGGAGAAATGCTTGATGAGCAACACTTTTTCTTCAATAACAACCTAACATCTAATTTCTCTTTTTTCCAACTTGTGGCAAAGTCTATTTTTATCTCACAAGGTACTGATTTTTGTACACATACCAGATAATTAAAATCATTTTGAGATAAACTCAAGTAAAGACTAATTTATCCTGGCATTAACAGAGTTGCACCTGTTTATGCCAGCTTTGAATCTCGATCCCTCCTGTTCTGATGTTCTCCAGCAGACAATCCCCAAGTTTATCAGAGGCATATCAAATGGTAAGATAAAGTATAATGGCAAAAAACTTACGGATTCCAGTGCTCTTTAGAAATCCTATAAAGGCTGGAAAACATGATGGGAAGTATAACATTTGAATTCTCCTCTATCAAACTCATGATGTATTCATTATTCCAATAATATAGCGCTCTTTCGGCCACCTTTGCGTCAAAGGAATAAATATTAACAGGAATTCAGATAGCTGTAATTTTGCAATTTTCTCAAGGAAAAATAAATCACAAAAATTTTGTGAAGATGTTTTAACAGGAATCATTAACTTTGGAATTAAAACTCTACTTTAATCAGTAGCATAACATGCATTAATGGAATTAAGTTTTTATCCTCTAATTCAAATCACCCAGCATCCACTCTCTGTTTCCCCTGAGCATGGTATGTTGCTACTCACTGAGGACCAGGTGCAGATAGTACATTAATGCTGCAGCTGTGGAGGGGAAGGGAGAGCAGACAGACTTCCCATCACCCCTTTCCCTCAATCCTGTGACTGCAGTCAGAAGGAAGAGAACTGTGCTGGGATACCAGGGGAAGGAGAAGAGAAAGGTCCAGCAGCTGAGCTCCATGAGGGAGGAGGGATCTTAAATGTGAGTAAGGTGCCAATGATAATAATCACGTTGGGGAGGAGCTGGGGGGGGGGGGGTAAGGGCTGTCTTAGGAGGGAAAACACTGATCTAAAGTATGCTAAATACAAATGTAGTCCAAGAAAGAGATGAAAACAGACATATCTGCCTCTGAGACAGGATAAGTCACCTAGCTTAATATGAAGGCACTACAGGTCATACATCCTACCTCCTTCACATATGATTCAATTTAAATCCTATTCATTCCCCTCCTTTCTGCTATGCAACGTGAACAGGCTATGGGTAATACCATCTCTAACCAGACATCTCCTTACAGAAGGAGGTAAATAGGAAAACAAGAATGGTGCACAATACTGCGTTAAAAAAGGAGCAAATACATCCTACATGGTCTATCAAACCCAAGGCCATATGGTGAGTACACATCACCTACAGTCAGAAGGGCTCAAAGCCTGCCTGGATACAACTAAAGGCCTTACATGGCTCAGAATAGCAAGTTCTGTGCTGTAACCCCAGATGTATCTAACAAGTTATTCATGGAGCTCAGAACTAAACTTCCACTGCAACATAACCTTTTCCATAGAGATCCAGAAGACAAGTATTTAAAACAATGTAACATGAAATTATATATACATTTGGAGGGGTGTTATGTTTGATACTGAGACAATACATTCCTATACAAACAATAACCTCTACAACTGACCTGAAAATGAGGGCTAGAGACACACTTGGCAATTTGTTTAAACAAGGGTTCCTGGATTTTGACAAATTGTGATGGTTCGATTACATCCAAGATTTCCTCCAGCTCTCCAAGGAACATGACCTAAAGACAAGGAAGAAAGAATTGAATATAAAACATCTGAATCATCTTGATCAGCAAAATGCTGATAACTCTCAAATTCTACTTCAGGGAGAAATGGAGGCCACACTAGCTTAGAAAGACCCTCTCTCAAAAAACATGATCAGTTCTACCTTTAACAACTTCTAGATTCAGTCTCATAAAAGAATGAGGACCAGTGTGTGCAAACACTGTATTTAAAGTAGTCCTTTCCAACAAAATTCAGAATTGCACCAGTATATCCATGCTGAAAACCCAGCCTAATACAGTCAAAGAATTTGGTCAAGGCTTTAACTTCGTGAAGCAAGGATAGTATCTTAATTTCACCTCAGTTTCAGAAGCAGTGTTCAAAATAACGGTTTCATTGTGGCACAGCATCTCATTAGGGAATCTCAGATTTGCATCAAGGATTTGAAACAAAAATATAAAGATCTAACTGCACCTTTTACATGTTTACTAGGTAAATGCTAGACAATAAAATATCTTTAATCCTCCCTGGAAAAATACTACCCTCATATATAAACAATTCCAAATCTAACAGAATTTACCAGTCTATCCTCAACTTTATGTTCTTCTTCTGAAACAAAAAGAAATTCTCTGCAGAAGAACCAGTGAATAGTCAAACATGGTTATCAAACTTTTCACAGTTAAAACTGGCAAAAAAACCACCCATAATTCAAGTAGGGAAAATCAGCTACAAGAATTAATACCAGGATCCACCACAGCATGTGCTATCTACCTGGAAATATCTAAAGATTGCCTGCCTATTATATTGTAGAACAAAATAATAGTTGTGTTTTGTTAATACAAATAATACACACCCTTAACCCTTTTGTTAAGGGTGGTGAGGCACTGGAATGGGTTGCCCAAGGAAGTTGTGAATGCTCCATCCCTGGCGGTGTTCAAGTCCAGGTTGGACAGAGCCTTGGGTGACATGGTTTAGTGTGAGGTGTCCCTGCCCATGGCAGGGGGGGGCTGGAACTAGATGATCTTAAGGTTCTTTACAACCCTAACTATTCTATGATTATGTAATACTATAATATCACTTACCTCTTTCTGACTGCAGGTTTTAGGCCAGAATTTCATTAAACCTCTAATGACCTAAATTAAAGGGAAAAAAGTTAGATTTTTTTTCTTTTCCTTTCCTCTCAACAGGGTTAGCCATTTATGATACAAAAAAAAAAAAAGTATGAAAGAAATATTTACTGGTTCTGTGAGTGAAGGGTCTTTTTCCAGAAACTGTACTATGCAATACGCCAGCTGTGAAGCAGTAAAGATTTAAGAAAATGAAGTTAGAACATTTCTATAAAGAAAGCACAACAAAACCGTTATTTTTAAAAGAGGGACTCAAGACAAGATGCTACAATAGCTTTCTCCAACTGCATCCAATTTTAAACTGAGATGCATGGTTTGCACTGTGCAAATCCACCCAAAGAGCAGTTCAAAAGAAACAACAGAACACATTACAAAAAAAAATAAATAAAGGTGACAACGTAGCATATAGAACAATCAGAGCAACTTAGAATTCTAAATACAGTCATACAACCAATGTTTAAAAGCTTCTGTTACTCTCTGAAATTGTGTCTTTTTACACATTTTATACATCAGCAAAATCATGAAAACTCTTGGCAAGATGAGCTGAGACAGCTAAAAACTGGAATAACTATTTAGAAAGTACAGCTTTATCAGCACTACCTGAAAATTGGAGAAAAAGGCAACAGGTATCACTTATCAGAGGAAAAATTACATCATGAAAGCTAGATGTATAAAAAGATACATGAGAGCATAAATACAGTATTGAGAAATATGTGAGCGAGAATGTTAAAGATTATGCAAAAATGTGGGTATTGGTATTCAGAAAGTTGCCAGGGTGAAGAAGAGCCTTGACAGCACAAGACTAAGGAAACCCAAATATCCTCTTGGGAGAGGAATGGAAAACGCAAACTTGTGAGAATGAGAAAGTATCAAAGAGAAATCTAAAGAGTTTACTAAACAAAATCCCCAAAATAGAACCAATTTCTGTTATACTTTTAATTATCTAATCAGAAGGAAGACATTTATAATACAAAGGACATTAAAGGAAAAGAAAAAAAAAATCACATTTTTTTCTACATTTCAAAACTTTCCCCCATCTTCCATTTAACATGCAATTAAATTTCCAATGCAACCTTAAAAAAAAGTATCTTCCTGTATCACCCCACTGAGCAGAAAATATTTGTATTAATTTCTACCTGTGCATGGAAGAGTGATAAACTCCTGACAGTATGTAAAGGGATCAGCACCTTCACCAGAAACTGTTTATGCTCTGCCTTAAGAGGTAAAGCAAACCCATTGATAATACTGGAAATTAGAATAGAAATACTTGTTAGTGTTATCATCACAGAAAACATTCTTGAAGTCTGAACAAGCACTTCCTAGATTAAAATAATTTAACAGTCAGCACCTGTTTACAAATAGCAGGCTCATCCCATTTGTAAACAGGTGCTGACTTTCATCCTGCTTTATATTAGCAGTGCAGTACATATCTAGGTAGCAATTCAGCTCTGACTTAGGAATAATCATATAAACAACTGCACAAACCTGTTGCCAAACAGATAAGACCTTGTCTATGTGGTCTGTAAATTCATATAAGCAAGATGTTCTGGAGCAATTAACTTAGAAAAGTAGATTTCCTTAAAATATTAGCACTGTTAGTGTGCTCAAGATAACGTAATTATTTCTACAGCATGTAAGGATGAAGTGCACAAAATTTAACACACACATACAGAAAGTCAATCCTACACTTTTGGCTCTAACTTGCATCCAGTTATATATTCTTGGCAAAGACATGACAGAGATTTGCACATGGGCATAAATATGAGCATGTGCGCACATCTGTTTTCAGAATCAGGGCTTATAGTTACACTTTTTCCAAATCTGACGCTATTCTGATGTGTCCAGAAGGGAAGTTCGAGATAGGTAACAAATAAACACTCATTTACCTTCCTAAAATTTCCAACAGTTCAGCTACGCCATTGAAGTGTTCAGTTTCATAAACAAATCTGAAAAAAAAAAAGTTAAATATAAGTAATATATTGGTTTCCTAAAGTGTTCATAAGCAAAATGTACCTTCTTCCACAACTCACCGTAGAAAAATATTATTAATCTGTTTTCGGATAAATGCTCTAAGACCCAGAAACTTGCCATAAATTCTGTGCAAGACTGTTTTCAGGTAGTCTCGTTCCCGAGGGTCTTCGCTGTCAAACAGCTCCAACAGCTGTGTTTAAAGGAAAAAGAGAACTGAAGCAGTAGACATTTGACAAGTATGACACGCAGACTTCTATATAAAAGAAAAATTACATATTCATGCATGTAAAAATGCAGTATCAGTTACCCAAGGTGTAGAAATACAGTATTAAAAAAATCTGTAGCTGTAACCCCACTACATCACCACAAAACTCAGTTTATTAATTTCCACTTCTGGCATAACAAAACTTTGGCAACCTCAAACAACGATAAACTTTTGATTAACTGGCTCCAAAATGCTGCCTTCATTCTCCTCCTCCAAATAAATAAATTCTTAGACGTTGCCATATCTACAAAATAGGACAGTTTACCCCTTACCATTCCCCATTCCCTCAGGCTGCAGAAATAAAAGATCCTCATTTGGTCTTATTTGTTCCCAAAACATTGTGTCAAGGTCACATTTTTCTAATTGCTTGCAATTTATATTGCGAATTCTTAAGCCTTCCTAGTGATTGCATGGCCTTCACACTCTGGAAAGGCTCAACAGTGAAGCCTATGCCAGCACTGGATCTGTGGTTACATAATCTCCACCAATCAACTGAAATCAAAGCACCAGGTGGAATTAATCCTCCATGTTGAACACAATGGTAACTTCAATACCCAGTTTAAACAAACAAACCTCAGAAAACCTACAAAAACAGAAAACCTACATTTACTAAGTAACTTATAAGTACCATTTTAAAACAGCAGAATGATTATGTGGTACTCGGTGAAAAGAGAATGCCATCCCATGTCTTTCACTGTACAAAATATATCCTGAAACACTGACACCTAAAGTTGTGTCTAAGAACTAAGGCATGACATGAGCAGCAGGAATATCACCTGCAGATCTTTCTTCTATTCCCCTTGAATCCCCTACCACAGAAGTATGAGCTTCCCCTTATCCCGTCTTCACCTTTTCTGACACCACAGCATTGGCTATTCTGGCAGACAACTGGAATGAGTTAGAAAGTAAACTTTTATTTAAAACACAAAACCAACCAAAACACAAAAACCAACCACCACCCCTCTAGTGCACAGATAAAAGGTAAGTTTAAGGTAGTTATCATGAGCAACCACTTGTTTGCATGAAAAAGAAATTAACTGTCAACCAGTACCTGTCTTGCAAGAGAAATTAAGAGTTTGTCAAAGAGTTCTGACAAATGCATAAGATGCTGTCAGAAAATTACTACAGGAGTGGTAGAAAACAATGTTATCTTGGATTCACAAATGGATACTGACATGTATAAGTACATATGGCAGTGTATGTATACTACCTGACCTCTGTTAAACTCCTACAAAACTTTGAGAAGATAAAATGAAAAGACAGAAAAATATGATTAAAATACGTTGTCTGGCATTTTGCTTTCTAATATCCAGATTTAGGACTGACGTATATATCCTTTCACACTATTCTGGATTTTTCTGTAGCTTGTAATAAGATCCCACTATCTCTTCCTTGCAGTAAGAATCTGTGCTGGGAATTTCATGTGGAAACAATGAGGTATATCAACTGCCCTCCAGAGGTTATGAACATATTGCTTTGGTCAATTAGCTCTACAGTTAAATAAATAAACAGTCACCTCATCCTTCCGCAAATAGTAAATTTCACCCAAATGCAACAAACAGCTGGAAACACTTATGTTTTTAATTTTCTTATTGGACTGCTTTTAGGAGCAAAGTATTTATATTTCCAGTTCTCTCACACAGATCCTCTATGGAAACATTGCTGAATTAAGACTTGGTCTCTCGTTTAAAGAAGGACAATTATTTTGATATGCCAAATTTGTTACCAGGTTTCAACAATAAAGACTTATTTTTATGGATAAGGTGCAAGACTTTTGTAATTTACGTGACTGTTCTGACACTAAGCATACGTAGAGAAGGGAAATAAATTTTCCAAAATAGCAACCTACATAACACAGACACTTGTGGATATATTAGAATAGTATGTCTCTTAGCAACCACTGCCAACCATTTCAGACTGTATATACACAGGCTTTGGAAATGAACAGTTACATTGTTAAACACAGCATTTTATCAAAACATACAGCTGAAATCCAGAAACACATCCATATTCAAAAAAACAAAAGCAAAAAACAAGTAAATAAGAAAAAGCCTAAAAGACACCCATTAAAGTGTCATTTTTTTATAAAGGCATTCTTATCGCTAAGAAATACTTCAATAAAGATCCTCACATTTAAAAAAAAATAATTTAGAGAGAAAGCTGATTTCAGACTGTCAACACTTGTGTTGTCATGAAACAAACATGCTTAATGTCCTTAAGTCTCAAATTGGCTTCCTATGTAAATGGTCTATAGTCACAGATTCAAAGGAATTGCTCTAAACACACAACAAATACAATAAGAAGTGGAATAAGAAGTGGAAGGACAAGCTGGTACTTACACGCTGAAGACAAACACACACACAGAGATGTATTTCCTTACATGTATCTACACAGCTCAACATTAACTTCTCACAGAAAAAAGGTGAATTTTAAATCAACACACTGTGCACAACAATACGTAAAAATGCGACACTTAACCATATGGCCAGAACTTAGGGCTTCTTAGAATTCTTTTGAACTCTAAACTGTAATATCATACATTTTCAGATACGATGGTTTTAAAATGTTGTATTTCCCTCTTTCAGTAGGTATCATTCTTTCACTTAGTAGATTTAATAAACACTATCAGGATTTAAAATAAGAAAGTAAAATCCTTGTTTAGACCCATTCTACCATTCCAAACTCTTAACATGTTTGAACACCTTGAAAGGGCATGAGTGGAATGCCACCAGTCATGACCAAGTCCAGCAGCACATAACAGAAGCATCCAGGAATTATTTTCTCTAGATTTCTAAGTGGAACACAAATATTTCTTCTAATGCAATCCTACTAAAGAAAATAAAATCAGTCTGGAAAAACCTGTAGACTGATTATCTCCCCATGCATATTCTTACATCTCCACCAGGTAACTGTATGATCAGACTGGTGTAGCCCCTTGTTCAAGTCAGCATTTAGATGAACAAAAACGGAACTCCACCACAGAGGCTTTATCTGGATGAAAAACATTGTACTTAGAAAATGGATAAAACATAAACATCATGTTGCTTCTATAGGGTGAAGAAGGTCTGTAATATTAAGAAGGAAACTTAAGTCCCTCATTTGAATCTTTGAATTTAGGGACAGAAGTTGTTCTATGGTTTTAGTTATCCATAAAAATAATACACATGGACAGGAAAAGCACTACTTTTATTGCCGGACCACTACAGGGGAAAATAAAAGCTGTAGGCCAGAGTGTCTGGTCTTCACAAATGCCAAGTGTCTCCTGACAGTTTTAGTTTGGCTTCGATTCAAGTTTCAGCCCACAAGGAAATTTCTTTTTCTGACTAAGTAGGAATCTTTCTAAATTTCCCTGATTTCAAAAGCAAGCTATAGACAGCATTAAAATTCTTTCTGACTTTGCAGTTATACAAAAATTCATGATGGGAACAGAGAACACAAGACAGGCCTATTCCCAAAAGCTGAAGACAAAAGTCTTATCTGTGGAATTTCCTGGCTTATCCCAAGAAACACCTTCCATCAGCCACCTGTGTTCTGGTGTCTGGACAAAAATTCCTCCCCATAGAGGAGCAAATACTGTAGTTTCAAGTGAAATAACAATGCATACACGAAGCCTAGCTTGTACAAAAGGAGGAAGAAGGTTAAATCTGAAACACAAAAACCCTGGCTACCAGCTGACCGAGTAACAGCACCCAACTCTTCCATTTAGCCATAACAATGGTGAGCAAACTACAAAAATAAAGGTACACATTCTTTGCCAATGTTGTTTATTATTGATGCTACTTCTTCCATGCTTTTAATAGAGCTTGAACTTCATATAGCCTTTTGATTTACTTCCTCCCCAACCACTACAGCATCACTGTTTTCAGAACTGCACTGGGAATAGGTTTCCTGATGAACTTCTGTCCCTGTTGCTAACTCTCCAGCAGAGACAGAAGGGAGAAATACTCTCCCTTTCCAACAGAAATATTTTAACAATATTAAGACACCTTAAAACAGGCATTTAAGTAGTCTTTCTAGATAGCAGCATTTTTGGACTACCTGACAGCAAACCTTTCATTTTTCAACAATTACTACTTCAGCTCCCTCTCATAACCGGTAAGTCAAATATTTTGATTAAGGTATCAAAACTGGATACAAACCATCCATTTTATATATCTATAGCAACAAGACTGACATATAAAGACACACACACACACTTCCCCTACCTCCATAGACTGAAAACTCTCACTGTATATGCTTGTTTAGCCTTTTTCTGTTCCAAATAAAATTACATTTTCAAATTCTAAACAAAATATTTTTAAAGACTTTTTTTTCAAAAGCAGAATGAAGCCTTAAATTTAGAATAAACGCCAGCTTACCTGCAATACAAATTTCTGATCTATGTATTTTTTGGCAATGCTGGGCTGAAATTCTTGGCTTTCCAAAAATCGTATGAAAAACTCATATACAAGCTGCAAAAGAAAAAAAAAAAAGGTCCACAGTTTAGTTTTTGAGTTTATTGCTCTTTCTATTTTAAAGTCTTTCTCTAAATTTTTTTGCTAGAAGATAAAATGCTTATTTTTCCACAGAGCAAAAGGTTGAAAAAAATGAAAAAGGTTTTTCTCCTTTATCAAACTGCTATCTTAGAGTTACAATTAATTATACAAGCTTTTAAAGTTAGTTTTGCTTATTTAAGTCCAGTCAAAGACACTTCATCACCAAGAACAGGCACTGCCATTTTGTAATGCTTATTATCAACTTGTAAAGCTTCCAAGAGTAATTGGAAAGCACATTTAAACTGCCCTCTGAATGCCTGAAGTCACATCAAATACAGACATTACAATTCTGAAAGGGCTGGGGAAACAGTTGGAAATATTTAAATTAAATTAGAAACTGCTTAGAGTAGCTTTTACTACAACTTGAAACAAAGAAGAAGAATACAAACCAGAATTTATTCAGAAGTTCCTAACTTACTGTAAAGATTAGCCTCAGGCTGGAGAAAACCTGCTTACTTTCAAGCAATTCCATTTCTGCCTCAACTATTCAGCGGGACAGTAACAGACTTTCAGTATAGTGGAGAAAAAGAAGAGTATGAAAAACAGGCAAAAAGGAAGGGAAGTGAAACAGAGACTGCTGTGGCCTTTTTGTTGAACCTTTTCAAGAGGAACAGCTATTTAAAACTTCTTTTCTGACTTAAGAGTATGAATATTGATACTGAAAGGAGAAAGGAAGCTAAAAATTACATCTTAAAATAATTTTTAACTTTTCTACGCTAACACCAATATGCTGAAATACTGTTGCTGCTTTACATCAGTGTTCTCTGACTTCTAAGAGGATAGGAAATCAAAAAGGGGGAGAGAGGTTTAGAAATAGGATATGGAAAAAGTGACAGCTTACATAACTAATATTAAATCATCAGGAGATCGATTCCATCAACTCCTGACAAATACTTTGGTGCATTTCTTTCTTCCTGACAAGGGTAAATCACCCACCAGCTAAGAAATGCCATAATTTCCATGTAAATAATGACTTTTAAAATTACAGCACTGCTGTCAATGAACATAAGATAGCAGATACACATGCCCGTGCTGTTTCCTGGAAGGCAGAGCTGTTCAGAGCTGCCTTGAAGCTTTTAAGAGTCTTTTTTTTTTTTTTTTTTAAATATGAGAGATAAAACCTACATTTCAACAAATTCTAAATTCGTAGCACAAAAGAGTGAAACAAACTGCTCACAGGCAAGGACTGTGCATGCAACTGTCCAGTAAAATCCTCATTTCAAGCTGAGATCAGCTGTGCTCCTTTGCTCACAGAAACTCCCAGATTCCACAAACTGTTACCTCTCAGGCAAACTTCTTCTAAATTTACTAGTGATGTAAGCTGTTGTCCTGACTAACACAGCCAGAATCCGCATCTGTATTTTCTATATAGGATTCTACTGCATTAGCATCAGTGATTCTTTCTCCAAAATTAGTTTATGGTCTTTGCTCAAAATACCTTGTGTTGGCACGTGAGGTACAGAGGAAGGGATGATACACAACAGTGAGCATGCATCCTGCTACAAACACCAGAAGGCAAATCTCGATGAGGGAAGAGGAAGGAAGACTTAGATAGGCATGTAGATTCTCATTCATATTTCTGATCACCTACCAACACCAGTGGACTTTTGTATGAAAATTAACTACCCTCTGTAAAGCAAAACTGAGAGCAGTATCATCCTCACAATGCCCTCGCTGAAATTGCTGAAAGGCACTTGTGCAATGGAACAGTTTGGAAAGCAGAATAGTCTTTAAATCAGTGAAGGAAAACATGAATATGAGTGGCACCATCAATACAACTGTGAAAGAAAGCTTCAAATTTTGCAAATTTCATAAAAGTACTCTCCCGTCTTTGTAGGTACTATACTATGGCCATGAACAATATTAGTAAATGTGTCTTACAGACCAGTTCAGATTCACAGGGTAAAAAGCAGCTGAGAAAATTAGATACATTAAGCAGTGATGAACATTTCTGAGATAAATTATCAAAAACCTGTAAATGTGGCCATGATGCCTCCAAGGTGGGCTCATCTTCTTCTGGATCAAATTCATTGCTGTCACTAGGTGGGAGAGTTCTGAATATATTGCAAGATACCTGGAAAGTGAAAAGAAAGAATTATGAGATCTGTTTTTCAAATAGGTACTAGATCTCAGGACTCTGTATGTCTGTACCTACTCTCTCCTCCATCACGTAAGCAGTGTTTCTTTTGGCTGCTGTCTAATAAAGTTCTTTAGCAAAAGCACAGGTCTAAGGAACTTGACACTTTACAAACCTCCCATGAGCCTTGCCCTTCTCCACAGTGTTTTCGTTTCTTCTTTCCACTACTATGCTGGCATTACCATCTGCCACCATTTCTGTCCACCATGTTCCAGATGTGCCTACCGAATTGTAATTCCCAATCCTGTCAGGCACCGGTGAGTTGAGAGCCACAACTGTTTAGGAGTTGCAGGAAACGCCATCAACACATATAAGTGTTTTCATACAAACTTATTTCCTGTTACGCAGGGAAAACATTGATGATATCCGATTAAGGTCTCATTTATCAGCACTTGTTAAGAATTGTGAGTGCTATTTACACATTGTATGCCTGGACACCTCATGCCAAGCACAGAAATCGGTCCTAAATAAAAGCAACAAATAGTATTTGCTCAACACTTAGCCTGCAATTTATTTCATGGTCCTTTCACTTTGCCTAATCTTATTTAGAGGAATTTTGATGAGATTGCTTGGCTTTCTGAGGTTCATGCTACCAGCAAAGGCTGAACCAGAGTGCTTTCCTGGGTTAATTATAGTGCTGAATGGAGTGTACAGCTTATTATGCAGCAAATCTGATAAACTGCAAACATGGTGTACAGCCTTTTCTGCACTTTGAAGGTGATGTTGTGCCTTCTTTGCACTCTGCTACTGCATTTGACCCACCTCTAAGCTGTTAATCAAACAGCTGGGAAAAGCAGCATGCTATCTCCTAATCCTGTCTATATATGACCCGTTCATTGCAGTTCAGACAAACTAAGCTATTTAAGAAACAAAGCTAGTATATTCTGCAACATCCTTATTTATTTTTCCAGCTTTTACTCCTGTAAACATTTACAAGTTAGTCTGTAAAGCGTATTTTCAATATATCGATAATTCAGTAAGAAAGAACACTTTAAAGTCAAGAGTTTAAATACAATTCAAACACTGTAAAAAATTGACTGAAATAGAAAAAGTAAAGCTTTGCAAGAAAATATTTTCAAGAAAATCAGAACAGATTCAGGTACTGCATAAACAGAGAGATAAAACAATGCAAAACTGTAGGAAAGCACATGTGGTGCATACCAGCGAGGAATATTCACTGAGCACACGGCAAAGATAAAAGAAAAGGAAGGCAAACAAGTGAGCAGAGGAAAAAGATAAAGAAAACACAACCAAAACCAAACCCAACACAAACATAAAGGGGTCACATGGGGTCTCTGCTTGGACTTCTCCCTTCTTGCCACAAGAGGGTGCCTTTCACTACAGTTACAGTAAAACACTTTCAGACGCCTCCACTGTGTACATATATCTCATGTTTTCAAGTCACGTGGCTTTCAACCTTAACAGATAGAGCTCTTATTATAGTCTGTGCTGATACTGAACTCTGCTTGCCCTGTGGGCGTACCTGCCAAGTGACTACTAGTATTTATTAGGAGACACTCTTTTCCTCCCTTCTCCATCCTCTTCCCCTGACTCATTTACTTCTCTCAAGAGCCCCTCATGAAAAGACTTGCATGAGGAGAGGTCAAATAACTATTCCAGGAATACACATTCCTGAGCTCCTCCTTCTACTATCCCTGATTAAAAAAAAAAAAAAAAAGAAAAAAGACAAAAAAAAAAAAAGACACAAAAAAACAGGGAGAGGAGGAAAGTTCTCAGAATTGGCATGACAGTTGTTCCTGTGTTAAGAGCACACGGCAAAATAGGGTAGATGGCCCAAAGGATTATTCCCAAGTAAAAAAGTTAAAATGTACTTATTGGGGCCTTGGTTCTGAACATCTGGGATTCTGCAATACTTACTGAAGCATTTTTGGTTAATGCTTCACATTCAAAAATCTCAGCCTTCCCAGGATTTGGACCAAAATAGGAAACTAGCAAAACCAAAGGCATTCCAGAGCTATTTTCTTTCTTTTTCCCCTGCTTTAAACTACTTGAAACAAGAAAGAAATTTTCATGCAAATTTAACCATACATAAATTATTGAAACTTGTACCAACAGATCAGAGAAAATGTAAGTATTCATCAGCTGTTGTGTTTAGAAACTCAAACAGATATTGAATTACGGCACAAGCAAATCCTGCAAGGAAAAGTGCCTACTTTCAGAATTAAAAGCTAAACTAAGACAAATTCCTCTAAGATTTAAATTAAGTCAAACCAAGCCTCAAGCAGTTAGTGCCAGGGCCTTAACAGCATGACAAAAGTATGAGGGGTTCAGCAACAATTAGTTAAGTGCCAGCACTGACATCTGAGTCTTGAGCTTGTAACAAAACCAGTATTTCTGGAGAGCACCTATTAAAAAGAGGCCAGTCTCAAGGCAACTCTAAAGCAGTATTTTTGCATAAGAAAATTAACATACAAGAGTAAATGAACAAAGTAGAATATGGTCCTAGTATACAGTTTGCTCTCTTTCATTTTCCTTTTTGCATTAGGAGAAAAGATAAGCTATATGAAACCAAAATGCAGATATTCTCTGAAGAAGAACAGACAGAACAGGTTATCTTTAAGCGATTTCCCCAGGTTATCATAATTTTAAAAGATAATGTGTGTCATTACCGTTACATTAATCACCACAACACAGCACGATAGCTCATTTACATACAGTGTCAATTTTATAGCATGCTTATCTGAATCAGTAGCCTCTGGGTGGCTGATGTTATAAGCCTCTAAGGGAGAAGTGAAGGCAACAAGTTCTTCCATGCATGAACTGCCCAGCTGTACATTAGAGACTTTGACAGCCACCACACAAAGATGGGAATACGCTACATCAAATCCAAAAGAATAATTTTTTCTCAGATGGGCATAAGGTAGCTATTTAATATTTATCCCTGGACCCACTCAGCATGCCAAAATTCCTTCAGCTGGATAGCTAAATCGTTTCTCTTCTGACCTCTGTTGCACCATCAAGCCAAAGGACATGACTGCCAGCCGGCATATAGAGTCCCAGATGATTTGTCTCCCATAGCCAACACAAATGACTATTGATCATACTGACTTCCGTCTTCCACTAGTTAGGAACACCTCCAAGCCTGGATGCTATTTTTGTAAAGCAAACCACAACTGTAATGTTGTAGAAAGTTGCATGATGACAGATCTCCTCTTATATTCTCCATTACTGTCCCTTTTAGAAGCAAACGTCAAACTGGGCGTAGAAAAGTACATCACTGCTCCCCTGGTATGCAGAATTTAAACACCCAAGTGCCAGAAACCAGTTTAACAGATCAGTAATATCTACCAACTGGCACTGAATCTAAAATTTCCATGATCAAGTTGGAAATGCCAAAATGACAGATTTTTAAATTCAAGATGCCAGAAGCCTCTATGCCCCATGTCAGTGTGGCAGTCAGGCACAACTCTGACCAGAAGAAAAATGAAAACGAGTTCTTCCCTGTGAGGATGGTAAGCCGCTGGAACAGGTTCCCCAGAGAAGGTGTGGGTGCCCCATCTCCAAAAGTGTTCAAAGCCAGGTTGGACGGGGCTTTGAGCAACCTGGCCTAGAGGAAGGTGTCCCTGCTCAGACAAGGGGGCTGGAATAAGATGAGATTGAAGGTTCCTTCCAACCCAAACCATTCTATAAAAACCTTTCCAGGCTATTACAAGTCAGTGTCAATTCATTAAAAACAAACAAGATAGGGAAGGCTGCTCTGATACTCCCACACAGAATGAGCTGCAAATTCTGTATAGATCGGATGACTAGTACCTGGCAATGCAGAACTATGAATATACAGTTAAAGTAATGAGCTTCAGGAAAGCTTTGATTTTATCACCAGATTTATATTTTTAATAGCTTTTAGGAAAGAAAATACTAAAAAGCTTAAGTCTGACGGTAGGAATAAATGTTTTGAGAAGTCCATTCTCTGTCCCTCACCAGAGTGCTATGAAAATGACAATGCTGTAACAGAAACACTTCACAAATTTAATTTCAGCTCAGCACTCCTACTCTGTGCTGTTCAAAACAAAGATTTTCATCAGTAATAGTTTTCCTGAATGGAACCTGAAAACAAACATGCACGCAGGGAAGCTTAGTATATTAGCTATAAAAAAAACAGGATAAGTGAATAGCCAACTAGTTCATAGGAAATGCCTCTTCTTCTATTATCAATAGGTGGAATCATCTAAATAAACCCTGTGTGCATATGAAATTGAAACCGGATATCTCTGTACATGCAATGTTTTAACTACTATGCATATTAACAACATACAGTAACAGTAACATGTAACTAAGTCGTAACATGAAGCCATGTTAACTGGGAGACAACAATGGCCCATGGAACAGACACTAAACTTGTCCTTCTTAAATGTATTTCTGTGTGATTTTTTAATATTGTTTATGGATTTACATATTTTAGAGCCTGAAATGACTACTGCAGTCATCCAGCTATGTCTCTATATAATCCATTGAATTGTTCCCAGAAGCTTGACTAAAGTACATCTTACAAAAAGTAACACCTACTTTTATCTTAAAAGATTATAAATGATTCCACCACTCTCCTAGTTTTACTACTAATCTAACGACAGCCTGCTTCACATTTCGAGGTTGAATTTGCCCGATTCCCTGATGGTTCTCGTTAAATCACCAGATCTATTTCACATCTGCATATATATTTACATATGCAGTATATATCTATTTATACGTAGGTACTTTTATATAGACATGACAATTCTTGAACTCTGTGCTGCTAAATGAAGACCTAGAGCTTCTGAACCCAGGCAGTTGTTAGTTTCTTTGCTTGTTTATAATCCTGTGATTACTCTTGCTTCCTTCCTTTGAGCTCCCATCTGTGCACAGCAAGGATACTGGGGTAGGTATAAAACACCAGACCCTCTCCATCTTTTTTTCCTGCATGTTGCCATTTTTATCAA